TACATAATTTCTTCTTCAATAGCAAGAGATTTTTTATTTTCAAAAATTTCTAAGAACCTACCAAACTAAATGAAAACTGATACAGTTAATTCGTATTTTCCTAAGTTTTAGTTGCCAATCTGAAACCTCACACAATAGAAGTCTTGTTTTGCTCTTGCTGCTTTTGGTGCTTCATTTAAAGGGTTAAATAAACAGTGATGAATAAATAAGAACTTTGCCCTATTTTAATGAATGTCATTTCTTAAAAATTTAAACTTTTTTAAAAGGAAAAAAAAACACTTTCCCAGAAATGTTTGGGGAAATACATATGCGCTCTGATTATTCTTATTGACCACATTTTATTTTTTATTATTTTATTTCTGCACTATCACTAATTAGGTGCTTGGTTATTTTTAGTTAACATATGAAAATTAAAAAAGAATTGAAGTGAAAACATATTTCAAGAAAAAACATCCTCATATCTATAAAATTCTTTAAAAAAATTATTTTTAATTTTTACAATTTTTAAAAACTTATTAGTAACAATAACGAAAGGTTCATTTTCCAAGTGTAGTGTCGAGTAAAAAATTTATTTTTGCCTAACTGAATGTAGTTGGGAATAACTGGATAATCTACACAGCTTCTGAAGTTTTCAATGCTAATTACTTTTATGATGTTGAAAATAATTTGTTTCCAATTTCTTTACAAATGCGGATCAAATTACGGTTAAAAAAGTGCACTCAAGGTACACTTTACTGAAAAAAATTGATAAACCGTATTTTCCGTTATTAATTGTCAAAAATTGATAAACCGTATTGATGAACCGTAATTGGTGAACCGCAAATTCATTACTGTAGAATCCCTGAATCACCGTCGTAATTAAATATTTCAATAAAAATTACAATATAAAATTTTATGGATGCTGCGCTCAGGGTGCTAGTACTTCTTACAGTAGCTCGTTTCAGAATTTTATACAATATAAAGAATTTAAGAATCGCGAAATATGAAACTCCACTAATCAAAAAAGAATTTGATCAGAATAAGTATTGCAACTTTCTAAAGGAAAAAAAAACATATAATTTATGTAATTTGTTTATGAGATTTTCATGCAATTCTCAAGTTAAAATGACCTAAACAATTTGTTAAAATCGACCTCAGTTTATTTGATAATTATTTCAATACCTTACTCAACTTTCATCCGAATTAATCTCATAGCAAGTAAGCCTGGTATATTATTAGTAGTTTCATTTCGCACATGATGATGTAAAGAAATATTAGGATTCGTAATTCCGTGATCGACTCCATAAAAATGTAAACATAAACAGATTTTTTTTCGGATTTGCATTTCGCACTTTTTAGAGAATTTGCATATCTTAGAGGACAGTATAGCTGCTTCAATCAGTGCAAGGTCCGAGAACCATATAAAAGTCCTCTCCTCTGTAGTAAATAGCGTGAGACAGACTATACAAGCCGAATAAATGGCTTTTATACCAAGCTCATATCATGACAAAATTACAAATTATTACATTTACCAAATTTTATAAGATATTATAAATGAAAATTTTTATTGTTAAGTTTACTAAATTCATTACAAAAACTTTTCACGGGAAGCTACTGAGCTTTTTGGTGTTCTCATAGAGCCTGAAACACGGTAAATTGTACCAGGTAGGTTTTGTTCATACTTTTACTCTCAGTGCACAAACAATTTACGAATTTCGACGTATAAAGCGGGTATGTGTCAGTAGCAAATCAAGCTACCATTTTAGATAATTAGAAACTGCGGTGAATATGTTCTGTTTTGAAAATAAAAAATTCTAGTAATATATGTTTATACAAAATGATTTTTAAATAGTCAGTAATTACCAGAACTGCCTGGATTTCAAAATATCAGCTAACATTAGATAATTTAAGTAATAAATGTATTAATACATTACGGCACCCGGTGAATTCTCGGCATTGTTAAATTTTTTGTCACAGCAACGAAAAGCAACAGAATGTCATTTATAACATAAAATATCCTATATAATATAAAATTATTTAAGGTGTTAAAAGGCACCTCTTGCTAAAAATAGATATGCTATTTGTGCATCGTTATACTGTAATTGATTTGAAGGAAAAAGATATCACTGAACTAATTTAACAATTTAATGAACTAATTTAACAAATAAAAAAAGCTAAAATTTAGTTGTGTTGGAGAACTAACTATATTGAAAGAATAATTTGAAAATAAAACCTGAAAAATGCCTTTTCATATAACTTGGTAGAAATAGTGTAATTATTACATTGTTTTTACCACGTTTTATTTCGATACAACTTTGTAGAAACAATTTAATGATTGCAGCACATTTTAACGATGCACATTTTTTTCAATGTGTGTACAAATATTATTGTTCAAAAGTTGAGCAAATTCTTCTGAGAGAGTTCCTATCAAAAATGGCTCGATATCCTCACGAATTAAATGTACCTAGAATATTTTATCTCAACCTTAAAACATTTCTAAGTTTTAGACATTTTTAAATACACTGGATTTTTCTTCTTCAATTTCTTGAGAGTTCAGGGTGGGTCTTGATCATCTTCATTATCCTTTTCCAGTCCACCTTCTTCACGCTATTCTTTTCTATTTCTAATTTTTTTAGAACCAAATTTTATTTTTTTATTGCATCAATCAAATCCGTTTGATATAGTTTACATTATAACGATTGATAAATTTCCCTATCTTCTTAACCTGATTTTCTTTTCTTATTCCTCGATTAATTCTTCTTAAGATTTGTTTCTGGGATTCCTAACATATCCGTAAAAACTCCTTATCTAAATTCTTGTAACTAATAGAACAATACTTATCTAAATTCCTGCAATGAAATGCGAAATACTTCTATTTTTATTTTGCTGAACCGATTATTTTTTTAACGATAAGCTTTTGAGCAAGTTGGAGAGTTCATAGAATAAACTTTTGACAAAAATAAAATGTGAAATACTTGTTTTGAAATATTTCTTAATTTTTACTTTAGAAAGTTTTTAAAAATGCTTAGAATATAATAAACAACAAAACACAATATTAATGTTCTAGGCTTTATTTATCAAAATTATAATTTAGATCAATCCAAAATATTTTCTTAACTAAAATGTACAAAGAAGAATTTATCAGAAGACATTTCTGAGACTTAAAAAAATATTTATTAAGAAAAAATCTTCTTCTTTTTTTAGTTACTCGTTTGTCCAGGATGGACATTAAATCATAACAATAAACCTTTTCCAGGCTAATCTTTATACAGCTAAAAATTTTCTTTTTTAGCAGTACAGTTATAAACATTTTAAATCATAAAACAAATATTACTGCAGCTTCGATGGTAATTTTTAGCTGTTTTGAGTGTAATTTTATTTATAATGAATCATTGAAAAATACGTAATAAATATTTACATGGAGAAAATATTCTGGGAGAATTACCGCACTTTATGGCAATGACATTTCTTGCACAGAAAACCATAATTCTGGAATAAAACCAAAATATACGTTATTTAAACCATTCCAATATGGTATTTTTTTCTGTTCATTTGATAACGATTTACCAAAAATTCTGATTTTCAAAATTAAAGTATTTATTTCCTCTCATTTGATAAAAAAAATACAAAACTGAACAGTAAATTTAACCAAACAAATGCTTTTTTTGTTCCATGCTCTAAGGTATCATGATGAAATTACCAAATTTTATCATTTATTACTACACTATACTTTATAGTTAATTTTACACAAATCATTACTAAGACACTTCGGTAAAAATTAACGATCTTTTTGGTGTTCCTATACAGCTATAAACGGGGTTAATTTTATCATATTCTGATAGTTTTGTCTAGTTTACAGTTTAAAACTTTTTATATAAGATCATCTGAAACTTCAAAAATACAATAAAAAATAATTAAAAAATAAAAAATATATCATAATAGTTTTTGCAATTGCCTTGATTTGTTTGAATGCAGTTTTTATTAAGAATTTTAAGAAATAAGTTTCAATGTTTAAATACTGATACACAAAAAAATTAGCAACAATAACTAAAATTTCAAAAATATAATAATAAAAAATTCAAAATTATTAAAAAATCACATTTTAATTTTCCTTTTCCTTAATCAAATTTTTTTCGTAAAAATTATAAAGAGATCTCAGCCAATTGTTTTAAACGCAATTTTCATGATGCAACTTTGGAAATAGGTTTAAAAGAAATTTAAAATTAAGTAAGTATACCAGGAAAATAAATAATGATAATGATATCTAATTCTTTAAAAATGTGCTTGCAAAAAAATAAAATAAAAATCACATGGTGTTACGCACAATTGCTTTAAATGTTACATGAATTCAAATTTTTATAACACTGTAAAAAATTCCAGGTCCAATTACGGTATTAAGTATCGGAACTTTGGATGCATCATCCGTAAATTCCATTTTACCGAGAAATTCATTTTCACCGTAAAATATTATGCCATAATTTTTGCAGTAATGTTCCTTTTATTAGAAGGATTAAGTTATTTTTCGGTGATTATTACTGTAAAACTTACAGTCAGAATTTTTTTTTGTTCCGTAACAATCGATTTTAACTCCGGTAAAAATGGATTTTAATGGTCAGAAGTACTGACACCCTGTGTGCCTGTACTTTTTACCGTGATTTGTTCCAAAATTTTTTACAGTGTATGCAAATTAAAAAATATCTTCATAATTTATCTCAATGGTTTATAATGGAATACATTTACATTTAAAAACTCATATACAAGAGTATTTAAAACTGAGATCTAAGACATCAAAAATATGCTAGTAAGAAATTAAAATTTTTACATTAATTTGCAATGTAGTTTTGAAAAAAAAAGGAAGGGGAGAAAAATGAAGTAGAACCATTTTTCAATAATTTGAAATTAAATTTCTTCTTTTAAATAATGATCTTAGTTCTTTAATTTGTGGATCTTCCCCTAAAAAGTTTCTTACGGTAGAAACGAAGATGGGAGTAAAGCACAGCAATGAACTTGAGCGCATGGCCTATATCGGGAACAGAGTCTGCTGACCTAGAAATAGTGGCCGCGGGCCCTCCACCCCTATTTAAGAGTCCGTCTCATTCACTTTTTCCTTACACATAGTTTGTCTATCTTGGGAATAGCAGGGATTCACTAGTTCTTCGAATTGTCAAGGTAAGTAAGTTACAAATGTGAAAATGATAAGTTTATTTTTTCTTTCAAAAGCGAAAGTTAAAGTCATATTCAGAATAACGAAGTGTACATAAAGTGCGTTCATTAGAATTAATTTATTAATTATGAAATACTTTAAATCATATTTCTTTATTTCAATATACTAAAAAAGAAAAGTGAAAATTTTTAAATTGATTAATATAATTAGAATTTTAATGCCAAGCAGAAAATATATATAAAATTATTTTAATAAATTATTCTTTTTAAATCTTTCATTTTATCAAACCAGTAACTCATGCTAACGAATTTTGTTTTATTGTTATATTTTGCATTGAAATTTATTCCTATTTCCATCTACATTTTAAAAATAAATGTAAAATTATTCGTAGTAGATAAGTTTGACTTTTCTAAACATTTATCTTACTCAAAGAATACAATTTTGTTATAAAGTGCGAAAAATTATAGTGTTGTATCGGCAATCTCCCATAATTCTTATTGCGGATGATTAATAAAACGAGAAAATGTAGATTTGTATTTTAGAGTATTATAAATCTTCTTGTTACATTTCTTTAAGTGATAATAAGCGTACAAGTAATATAACTTATTTCTCTTTTTGAAATTATTAAAAAAATCTATCAAAATCTTTTAAAGTAAAAATGTTTAACTAGAGCAAAATAAAGTAAAGTTTTTTTCAATATGTATGGTGGAACAATAGCAATAATATAAAAAAATTTCATTATAAAATTACAAAATATTTAACTTATTAATTACACCAAATCTTCAACAAATCCTTTATCAGAATATTATTAAATATTTTTTACAGGCTCTAGGTTTTAAATACATTAATTAATCGGTAAATTTTTGAATAAACAAATTTAGATAATAAATGTTTTATCACTGATTCCAATTTTTAGAAGCTTATTTATGCGAAAATTTAAAACTTTATTCCTTTTCTTAAGGCCATGAAACCATGGCGGCCATAAATCGATGAATCCGTGATCGAAATAACGATCGATAATTTAAAACGTTAATGCAATCATGGAAACCAATTTATAAGTGTTTTTAAGTCACAGGGAAGTTTTAATTCCTTTAAATAAAATTCGATACGTATTTTTTTTTAACTTTTCTATAAAAAAATTAAATTGTTAAGGGCATTTTTTTTCTAATATTTTAAACAAAAAAAATTTTGGAAAATATTTCTTGTAATTTTTCTATTTTTCTTTTGATATTTGCATCAGAAATCAGTCACAGAAAAAAAAACAATTAAGATATTAATAAGACAAGAAATAATATTAAACGGCATGATTCTGTTACTTCAAACACAAAAAATGAATTAAAGCCATTTTATCTAGAATAAAAGGTCAATGTCTCAATTAAAATTCAACACATTCGTTCTTCATGGTTGAGTAGACAGAGAAATATGCACAATAATGGATCAATTTTATCAATCTGATAAGATCGATGATTAACTAATCATCTTAGTTGATAGGATTAATGATATTAATATCCGCATTGTGAGAGAAGCGTGCCATTAATAATATCTAAGAAGATAAAATATTTCTTGTAAATAGATAAGAGCTAATCGAACATTTCAGATGCCATGTATAATTATATATCGAATTTTTATTTTTTATCTAAAGGTATGCTGATCTTTATTTTTATTTACTTGATGGAAAGAATATTTTCTAAGAAAATTATTTATTAATAGTTGCAAATTGTTCTAATAGTAAAAAAATATTAGCATTTAAATTACTGATAAAATCAATTGAAATAAATTTGCGATTTCGAATGCTTTCTTCCGTGGTTTTTATTTATAAAATGAATTATTTTTTAATCTATATTTTTCCCATTCAAACTTTATTCATTTTATCAAATTCCATGCACAGTTCAGTTTTTTCATTCCAATTCATTACAGTTATTAATTTAAAAAATTTCATTGAATTTAGAGCATAAATTGTTAAATTTATTAGCATTCCATTTTTATTATACCTAAGAATACGACAATGCCAAAACATGCCGATTTTAATGAATAATTAGTGCTTATGATGAAATTCATATCCTCAAATCAAAGAAGGTGATAATTTTCTGAAGTAAATACTTTTTTCTCAAGAAATGAGATAATTTCTGAATTATGAGTGCTTATTTTTGTAATCCATTCGAATGTATAATGTCAGATTGAGAATTATATGAAATTCGTTAGCTATTTTTACAGTCTTATGTTGATTTAGATGATTTTATTTTCATTGAAATATAATGTGTTTTCATTTTTTTAAATTTAATGAATAATTGTTTTCAAATTCTTAAACATAATGAAGCGCATTGAAATAAAATATTATACCTTAATCTTGTACTATAACTATAGAAACCTATAAAATACTTGCTTTTAAAAAAATTGCTATCTTTTATCAATTTAAGAGAGGTATCAAGCTCTAATACCAAATGATATGTTTCACGTATGATTTTGCAAAATTTTTTCTGAGAAAAGTGTTTCAAAGGTATGTCTAAAGAACATAATTATAAAACAAAATGTTTTAGCTATAAAAAAATCTAAAAACATTAAGTTTTTTAAATATAGTAGTTACGAAACAAACACGATAGAATATTGTTGCTGTTGTTCATAGTACTTCAAGCATTTTCAAAAAAATCCCCAAAAAATATCCAATCAGTGGTTTTTTTATTAAATTAACAAAAAATATCGCTTGCAATATAAGAAAATCGGATTTACTCACTGTTAAGTTCGAAATCGGCAATTAGATTATTAAATTTGTGCAAAACTCTTTTACTTATAATTAGATTCACATCTCTTAGCTTATATACAAAATTTTGCATTAATTGGTTCTCAAAAAAAAGCATCATATAAACATGATGACTGTTTACACTTATAATTACAAAAGTTAACTGCAGCAACTAAAATATTTCTTCTCACAAAGCTTTTTTTTTTTTTAACTAAAATGATTTTTAAGTTAATCATCGATCAATATTATTTTTTTAAAAATTATTTTATTATTTTCTTTTGCAACCCCCAATGAGAGTACATTTTACTACAAAGGATTTTGAAAGCGTATGGTAAGGGAAATCATTAAGAAGTTTGCGATATAAACAATATTATTTCACCGGTAATGTTTGTATTAATTTTCAAAGGAGAATCAGGAATAAAGTGCGTCTCTTTTACCATTAATGCTCAGTAATTACATTTGAAACACTTTATGGAAGTAAAAGGAAATAATTTACTAAGTTTAGGTCCTACTTTGATTAAGTAGAGTCAAAAGCAATTTAGATAACTGTTTTTCTTATATTTTGTTTAATAAAGTGGCAAACTTGTAAGCAACGTTTTCCCAAAAATGTGCTCATATATATCGTAAGTAATTATTATTAATAAATAAATCCTGATTGCATGCATAATATTTTTTTGTGAAAAGTAAAGCTAGTAATGAAAAGATAAGTCTATAATATGCTTTTTATTCTAGCTTTATATTTATTAATTATTATCATGACTTCCATGTCTATTTTAAGTCTTATTTATCATTTTCACGTGGCCTGATGTTAAGCGCATGACATCACAAGAGGAAGAAAATTCTATTTATTAAATACAAAATTAAATTTAGCTTTTATTTATCGCAGAATATAGAAGAAATTGGTCGAATACATGAAATTATTTTCGTCAACATAAAACAAAAGTGAAATGAATGGAACGAAAAAATTCAAGAAATATTTAATCAAAAATTAATAAGTACTTAGATTTTTGCTTTTTGTTTAAAAATTTCTCATTCTCTTATAAAAAAGAAATTCCAGTAAATGAGTCCGACTGTAAGGTAAATTCATAATCTGTAACTAGTGTGTGATATATTGTAATGTGCCTTAAAAATTTATATAATTATAATTGGGTTTCAAGCAGGCTCAGGTGGAATTAAATTTTACTGCAAAATTAAAATCAATTTTTGATTGATTGCGTTTGGAATGAATTTTATCTGAATTATAGTTGATTGTCTCAAAAAATTAGAATATTTCTTAAAAATTACTTTTTGCATCATTTACTGTGAATTTTTAAACTATCTAAAAACATTTATTGATGTAACTTAGATTTTTTTATAATCAAATAATTTATAAATCTACACATAATTTCCTACTCAATCGATTCTAGGACCCCTTCATCGTTTCCTTAGATAATCTCTTAATCAATCTGAATAGAGATTATTTACAGAATTTAGGAAGCAATTAGGAAACCAAACATTAGAGAAATATTAGCCCTTTTCTATCCAGCTGTCTCGTGAGCAACTAATAAAAATTAAAGCGACGTAGATGCTTAGAATTCTTAAATAAACTATTAGAGATAATGTAATATTGCTTCCATATTTTTACACAAGAAGTTTTAATTATAAAATTTTTAGTGATACTTATTTCTGCAAAATGGCTAAACTAATATAATTTTTTAATACTTCAACAATGTGAGGCAAAAACAAGAATGCATTAAATTTAACATGCTTTTTATGCATTTCTATGTAATAGGATAGTTTAAGTATATGGCAGAATCTGTTGCCTAGGTTAAGGCTTTGATTCAAAAAATTATTTACTTAATATATTTTATTTTCCTTCATTCTTTGCTTTAAGAAAATAGAGAAAAATCTTCTTTCATTATTTTCTTTTTTTTTTACAATGCACACTCATGATCGACATCAATTAATACGAAGCTCTACAAACATTATTACCGGGGAAATAGCAAATTTTGTTAAAATCTTAAATTGTGCAAACATGGTCAAAAGATTCAAGTACAAATTTTTTTGGTTTTGTTATAAAATAACATATATTCTCTGAATATGTACCTGAGAATTTTAAGGCTGTTCTTTAGATACTTTTTTGTCTTGCGAAATAACAATTTTTCACGATAATTATGCTTTTCTTTAAATATCACTAATTGGTAACAGAAAATAACAGAAATAACCTATCTCTGACTGTTAGATTAAGCTTTGTTTCTAAGCAAATAATTAAAATGGCGCAAAATGTCAAAGTGAAGAACAACTACAGTTTCTTGAAAGCAAAAGCATTAGTGATATAATTTTCAGTATTTGACATGTTACTTCAACGTTGTTCATAAATGTATGCAAAAGTATGCATATTACTCAAAGTGTTCATAAAAATATGTAAAAATTGATAATAATGCTTTTGAAGTAAATGGAAAATCTAACCAAATTGCTAATATCATGAAAAGTTAAGCACATTTTTTAAAAAAATATCGTAGTTATTTGGCCGTTTTGAATCCAGATAATTCTTAACAACAAGATAGTGTTTATGGTTAAAAATTAAAGCCTTGCTTTGAAGGCCTTGTTAAAAGCATACTAACTTGGCCTTTTCTTTTAAATTTCTTGGCGAAAAGACTTCGAAAATATCCTTAATGATTTACAACTTTTAAAAGCATTATTACTCCAAGCAAAAGTTATTGCCAGCTTGAAATAGGAAAGAAAAATTAAAATATTGTAATATTTTGGCCATCACTGTTTTGTGTAGTATTCATTAGTTACATTTCAGACTCTACCACCAGAAGAAAATATAAACAGGTAACATTGCCCCACTGATACATATAGGCTGATTTTCGATCGGAGGGAGACAGGACCGGTCTCTGCTAATATTCACCCTATGCGCGTAATTGCGCTTTGATAATATATCATCTTTCACACCCAATGAATACTATGTTCATTAATTCTTAAGAAAATCATTCATAAATTCTATGCATTCATCTTCCGACCTTCTAAAGCAAGGCATAGTCCCCCTAAGGGTGGGCCAATGAACGACAAAACGTGAATGAACTCCCTTTATGGAATTATGAATTAGAGGAAATGAATGCAAAGTAAAATATCCATTTGGTCAACTCTTTCCATGAATAGTTCTTTGCCAATGACCCATCGTGCAACAACCCTCACTTATTGGGGCGCAAAAGAGTTGACCTACATAACTAAGTTGCGAGTGAGTTTTCTTCCTCTTGTACTTAAAGATGATAAGGGATCTTTCTACTTTTGGAGTTGTAAAGCTTTCTCCCAATTTTATTGCTATCCTTCCGTCTTTGTTTGAGTTTACATAAAAGTTTCTTCTTTTCCTTATTTAGCTTGTTACGACTTGCTGTGCTCAAATGTCAGAGTTAATTTATTTATAACACATTGCTTCTCGGAAAGTGTTCAAAAAGAAGTCCAAAGTGTTCAAATGTCAGAGTTAATTTATTTATAACACATTGCTTCACGAAATGTAGGAAAAATTAGGAAAGTTATTGAAAATTATTAAATAAATTATAGTTAGGAAAATTATTGAAATTTTATGAATAGTGAAAATATTATTTTTAAGAAATTACTTTGGATCAATTTCAACTAGGTCTGATTAAATAGCTTTGTTAATATAAATGATTGTTCGAAATAATTAAAAATCATTGCACATTTTTAAAAGTTATGAGTTCCTGTTAATGATATAAATATATTTTTTGTGAAAGGATTTACATTTAGTTTTGACGAGACCTGGTTAAAATAATTTTTATCAATGAAGCTTAATGTTTAAAATTGGGAAAATTGATTACTTAGTTTTTTGTTAATTATGAATTATTATAAATGATGAAAATATTTCATTGAAGTAATGATGAGACTTGATTTTGAACAAACCTTTATAAAATAACTTTATTTGCATATCCTACTATTGATCATTAACGAAAAATCATTGCGCATTTTCGAAAAATATAAGCTCTTATGAATGCTATAACTAATTGAATTGTTTAAGAAGTGATTCTGTTTTGACGAGACTTGATTGAACCTTAGATAATGGAAGTATAAGGCTAAATAATTTTCAAATTAAATGTTAAGGCGAATTGACTTAACAAGTATAAAATAATAAAAGTAAAACTAGCTTGACAAATACTTTTTCTTTTCTGTAAAATGATTTCTTTAAATGGAATAAAGATGAATAATTGTTAAATGGTGCACTTGCCTGCAATGTTAATTTTTCTTTTACTCGTACGAATTGTTTAATGAAAATAATGTTGAGTAAAAATATAATTTTAATAATTATGTCTCATTAAAATAGAACGGAAATCATTGTTTGTCTTTGAAATAGAGAAAAAAACTTTATTTTCAGAAAATAAAAGAGAATGAACGATGTATTATGAAATTATTATGGAAACTATGCTTTTAAAAATACTATAAATGTAACGTAACTGAATGTTTCATTATAAGCTTCAAGCCATATAAAATTAAAAATAAACGCATATTTCATAAGTAAGATAACATTTAATTAGAGGCTATTCCAATTTTGAAAAGTAGTGAAATTTCTATTGATTTTCCCTTGGTTAAACAATCACTTCAGGTTTTTCACTCGGTTAAACAAATATTCAGATTTATTTCATTCTCTAAGCATTTAATAAGAAGCATTTACTAGTAGACTTTACTACATTTCATTACATTTTTCTGAAACTGTGCTTGGTCAGAGCATAATTTTCATTATTTATAAATTTTTAATAGCTTTTAGAGGCACATAAATTTACACGTTTACATAACTGAAGTAATATTACTTTATCGTACTATTACTTCTATCCCATGCAGCTTCATCACAGATAATATTACATTTTAGCAAACCTAAGCTAAAGAACAATTTTTAAGTTAAGATACGTTTTTTTTATGTTAATTTCGTTCAAAATGCTTAAATTCAGAAATTTCCCTACTTTTTAAGCATTCTGAAAAGTAATTTTTGCACTGTGTAAAAGAAATTTGTTTGAACATTTATTGAAAATGAAAAAAAAGAAATTTTAAACGTTATAGAGTTATAAACAAAAAATACAGAAATAAAGTAAAGTAAATATTGCATTGTCTTTTTGTAGAATAATTTGATTTGCTAAATATTGACTCCTTAACGAACTATTTCTCCATTTGCCGTTAATCGCTAATCATATCAAATTTTAGCTTTATGACCTTGTTTCCAACTGTGGCAAATTCAATGCTGAATAAATCAGCAAATAAATAACTATTCAATTCCTATAATACAAAAGAGTGATAATGTGACACCTGTAAAGAATTAAGGTTAAAATCATCTGCTCCACCATATCCTTTCAAGATCCTGTAGCATGGGAATCAAAACAATAGAATGTTAAAAGATAATTTGTGGAACAAAAACTAGCTTGAGGGTTAAGACTACTGAAGAGATAACAAAACGGAAGTTTTTTTCTTAGAGATTATTAAATGGATTTAGCAGTATAGATTTTTTTTTCTTTCCAAAAGGCCCGGACCTGAGCTAATGGTTTTTGAAAAATCATTCATGCTTTGCAACGGTCCAATGAGTACAAGAATAAAGGCTTCTGGATATGGGACGGGTGTTAAAGATATACTGGAAGAAAACAACTAAACTTGACATACATTTCTTACCGCATGTATATATCATAACTAAGTTAATGGTTTCTGATGAGCGAGTGAGATTAGATGATTATTTGAAGAACCTCCACTAATGGACATTTAGATGAGCCTCGTTTAGACTAATGGAGGTTATTCCATTCTCAGCTTGGATCGTAGCTTTTCCTGCTTTGAGGTGCCCGGATGTATATTCCATTCTTAAATTAAGATTTATTTAATGAGAATCGCACCAATGACCCATTCACAGGGACGCTGCTTCTTTAAATAAATGCAAAAACTCTGCCACGCCATTGTTTTGTAACATTGGAGTTAAATAACACATAACGTTCACATTATTTATTGTTTAATTATCTTCCAAACTGGGCACAGTTTACAAACTACTGGTATAAATATACACAATTACTTTCTCAATTTTCATGAATTTTACTTAAGACTACAACAATATGTACTATGAACGTAACTAATGAGTTGAAGCTTGATTTTAAGAAGAAGAAAAATTAAGTAATATGATGCAATTTTTTAAAAAAAATCTATGTACAATAAGAAACAGATAAAAAAATCAGCTGTAAAATGGTTGGAAAAATCGAATAAAGCTGAAAACAGTCATCAAGTATTTCATTTTTAGTTTTGTCCAACTAGTGTTATCGATAATGCAAGCGTTCATCTTAACTTAATTTATTTTATTCGATGTTTTAAATTTATTGCATATTATGCAGAACCATGCTTTTATTTATTATTTGTTCAATAAATTTACCTTGAAAATTTGACTTTTTTTTTACGAAAATTCCAATGATGCTTCACCTGAATTCACTAAAAAAATTTAAGCATTTTTGATCAACTTAGGATATAAATTTACATTAATGTCCAGCTTTTAATTGAGTACAATTTTATTTTTCAGTAGCTGACAACTAAACTCGCCTTACCATGCCAAACCAAGATCACCAAAGGCGATTCACCCTCTTCACTTTCTCTCTTCTAGTACTAACAGGATTAGTAATCCAACAAGCTGAGGCTGGCATAGGAGGATTACTTGGCCTTGGTAACAAAGGACTTGGCAGCAAAAAGACCTCAGAGATGTTGGTAGCAGCCTCTATCTTAGCTTCCTTAATTACCAAACACAAAGAATCACAGAACCAAAGTAAACAAAGAGCTCCCATGATGCCTATGCCAATGCCACCATACGGAGGTTACGCTGCTGCTAGCTCACCATATGGATCCTATGGTGCAGTGGGATACGGTGGTGGTTTAGGATCATCCCTTTACGGAGGATACCCAGGTCTAGCGTCTGCCTATGGTGGATTTGCAAGTCCAGTTGGAGGAGCCGCGTATGGTGGAGGAGCATATGGTGGAGCATATGGTGGATATTAAATGAAAAATGTAGATTTATTCAAAGTATTATTAATTAATGTTCCCTAGTCTGCTGGCATGGTGAAATAAGGGATTGGCATCGATTTGAAAACTCTGAAAATGTAAAAAAAAAGTCAACGTAACACTCCACTTTTTTTAAAGTTCTTAGAAAGTGGATTTATTAGTAACATGTGAAACTAAATTTGCAGTTTTTGATATGCTTGTTTTTGCAATCGAAGGGTAGATAATTAAGTAACTTTCATAATTTATTTGAAACTTTTAATGATGTCTTCAATTTAAATTTTAAGGGGATTTTTGATTGGATACTTCATAAATTTTATTCTAAAACTGAATCACTATTTTTAGTGTATAGATAGAAAATTGATTAAGTAGCTTAACCCACATACGCTATTGTTTAAATGTAATCAATTCTTAATTGAGGTTTCGAATGAATCACATGACTGACCAGTGACAAAAAATATTAGAGCCGTGCACTTTGTGTATCTTTCAGTAGTTTTCTGAAGATGGCATTCCTACAGTAGCCAAAAAGGCGCTCCCCTTGTAAATAAACCCAAAGAACATTTCACAAAATATATCTCATTTTCAAAGGTATACATTATATACTATATTCGTATATCGGATGACGTTTGATAAAAGGTCGAAATCCAACATATAGCTGTGCATACTATGTAAGAATCGGCCGTCAACCGTTTTTAATCATTCGATATGTCTCTTTTTCTATGTAAACATGTAATAAGATGTATTTTTTATATCCGTAATAAAAATGTACGAAATTTTAAGTCTTTGTCTTTATTTTTAACTTCAATTTCCAATATTTAAAATCAATGAAAAAATTATTTTTTCGTAAGCTAAAATTCTGACAACTTATTACAAACATTTGTAATATAAATGGAAATTAAAATAATTTTTTAGGGTTTAAATTTTTCGTACTTAACCGTTATGTAGTCTAAATATTTTTCTAACCATAATAATTTTTAAGTAGAAATATTTATTTTAAGGAAATCATTATCATTTAGATTTATTCATGAAATTGTCTTTCAATTTCTCTTATTTCTCATTTAAAACATTTATTTTATTTTAAAGTATTTTATGACTCGTGTTTTTTCTTCCTTTTATCTGCACTCTTAAAAATCAATACTTCTAGAACGATATACTCGAGGCATTTTATAAACGCTTAAAAGTGAACGACATTATAGTTTAAGTTTCTTTCTTTTTTTTTTCATCTAAGTTCAAGAGAAATGTAAAATTCTACAAAGACATGGCTCAATTTAATATTTAGCACCTTTTCAAAGTCGAAAAAAATTCATAGAATGTCACATGATCAGAACAGCAATAATTACAATCTATGAATTGCTTTTATAATCCAACTCTTGATAGTGTGAACCGTTAACAATCGAAGAAAAATGTACCGATAATCCCCAGTTATAACAATATCTAACATCTTTTTAAAAAATTCTATTTTTAGAATATATTTAATATTTTACTCATATTTGCTTACTTTTATGTATATATTTCTAAAAGATTATTACGTAACATCACACGAAGTAGTTATATTTTGCATTAAACGTCTAAAACTTAGGGTATGAAGAAAAAAATTATGATACTAAATTGTATTAAAAAATTTGTTACTCTTCTCTTATAATCGTAATAGTTTCTATTATTATATTAATTCATTATTATTTACACTATTATATTATTATTACATAGTTATTATAATACTCAATAATAATATTGAACTTGAATTTAACATCATTTATAATAGTCGTCAGTAATTTATGAGACCGTGAAATTTACGGCCAAAAATGAGTTATGCTTAAAAATTTGCAGTGGAGAAAAAGAATCGTTTTAATAAAACTGCAGAACATATATTAAAAAAATTCAAAGAAATCATTTGATTTTGATACTGCTGCAGTATGTATTTGGATAAATATTCAGGATAATACACTTTTATGCTGCATGCGTCGGATAACACACTTCATCAATTTAATCTAAATATTTAAATTTACCCTAGAATTTTTTTTACATATTTTGTTAACTAGATTTTTCTTAGATTTTTGTACATTTTATTAATTCTCGATAGAATAAAGGACTCAAAACAGTTGTGCTTACAAACACTAAAGTTTAGAGTTGTGTACAGAAATAAATTATTTGTGTTTAATAAATTTTCAGTATTAATTCGTTTTGGAGGCTAACTCTTGAAGACGCTGGGACATAGTCTCTATAGTGCACAAGCACAAGTTCGAAATCGTGAGGAAAAAAAACAGGTTTTCTTTTACAGAACTATTTTCCTTCTTTTCTGCTACATAGGTATTTTTTATCAACTTCACAAAAACTTACAATTTTTGTGAAGTTTTTGACAACATTTTGATTTTTCATTTACCATTATTTTTATATTATGACATGGGGCCATATGTTGAAATATCCCGTCAAACCAAACATCTTCAGGCATATAATATATTCATATGCACTATGTTGAATTTACAACTTATTTCATCCAGCGATAAGCTTATACACTGTTAGAAGTGGTTAAATAACACTTTATTTAGTTATTTTACCGTATTCAAATAAAACATGGTTAAATAACCATAAATAAGATAGTCTTCAAACTGTTAATTGTCAGATAAATAGTTTATTAACTGCTTCTTACCTAATACTGTTAGACAACCAGAATTTTATCTCACTATCAAAGACTACCTAATGAGGCCTCTTAGTTCCTTGCAGATGGGTACATTTAATACCCGAGAGGGCTAATCTGTCAGTCTCATGACCGACAGAACGGTAGTTTGCTTTCCAGCTTTGACACCACAATATTTCCCACTTGTCCATCAGCACATGAAGATTTTCCATTGCCCTACCCTCGGCTATTATTCCCTGGGCTCATTTACGCATAGATGGTAGCTGTATAAAACTGCGGAACTATCTTCAATGTCCAGTTAAGTTTCTTTTTTACGATTTTGAGACCATGCTAGTTGTAAATGGTTAAAAAAAACAGTATAATTTTGTATTCATGTTTTTTCAACCATACTAGTTGTAAACGGTTTCAAAACCGTTAAGGGAAAAATGTTCTTTACCGTAAACTTCACGATTAATTGGATGGACAGGCTGTCGGTAATTTTACCATAATTTTAGAATGAAAATTCTAACAGTGTAGCGCCATATTTTGAGAAAAAAACCGAAACGTGTAGTTTAGATGAAATTCCACACTTTTTCGAATTGCTCAAGTCTAAAATAAACTTGAAAGAAACTAATTTGCTCCAACTGATTAGCACATAATAGTGTAAAAAAATATGCAACTGAAACGATATAAGCTAAATAAATCTTAATTACAATAGATAAATATCTCATTAAATGTTTTTAATAACTTTTCAAAAGATAAAAATACAACAGTTTTATAACTCATAACATATTTCGTGTCGTATGAAGACTTCTCCATCTTCTGATTAGGTCAATGAACATAACAGAAGGTACAATAAGAGCGTGTTTTTTCCTTTCTCGAAATTGTACTCTTTCCTGGAATGAAAGAAATTGAAAAGTATTCTGTTAATCCAAATAAAAATTACCAGACATATTATCAAAAATGGCATTAAAAATTTTATAATGAAGTATAGATTTTGTATAATTTTAGAATATATATTTTTTACCTTAAGTAAATTAGAGTGGGGTAAGATTGAGTAGCGGGGTGAAACCGGGTACCTCGATTGGCTTGCTGTTGCAGATTATTTAACGAAGTCTGTGTGTTAAAATTTGTTTTACCATGCATATGTCAAAATCCGTTTACTTTCTAATGTTCTTTTGTTTTTAAACTATTCTTATTTATAAGTCATAAGGGTTGCGAAAATGGTTTTAGTCCAGATTATTATATGTTTATATGCTCTCAGGGTAAGAACCAGGTACTACCTACTCTTATTCCCCCCGCTCATTATGTGTTTATGCCACGAAAGCTGTAGTGTAACGGAGGACGAAGAAAATTATATCACATGTAAGTTACATGTATAATATTCTAAAATTTTTATAAAAAGTTAAGATGGCTTCTACTTTTTTACTGAAGTTCTACTTTTTGTGCTCCTGTTCTTACCCCACTTTCTCCCATCAGTTTTTTTTTAAATTTTAATAAAGAGTAAGTATATATTTTGAACTGAATCTCATTTGAACCATAATGTCAATTAAATGTCTTGCAACCATAATAAGATGCTTATTTCAACCATATTCTTGCGCAAATTAGACCATCTATAACTTGATTGCACGCTACCAATAAGATTGAACGGAAATAGAGTTAAATTAAACGTATTATTATGGTTAAAGCATATTTGGCGGTTATTGTAAAGCAATACCAATGTTTTTGTTCAATGCAGAACTGATTTTTCTGAAAGTATATAGAATTAGCAAAAGTTAGCTTGAAGTTATTGTTAGGAGTTAATGTAACTTTTGTGGGATTTTAATTATTGAGTTATTGTATGGAATTTTTACAATGTTATGAAGAGTTTGTGGAGCTAGTAAAAGTCTAGTAGCACTTTCTAAAAGTCTAGCAGCTAGTAAAAGTCTAGCAGATCATAAACTTTCAAAAAATGCTTCTATCAATCCCAAAAAAACTTAAATTGAGACGGGATTCAGTTTTTTTTATTTTTAAGAAATAACGTTTATATAACGTGAGATTTTTTTAAAAAAATTTAGTTTCAAACTGTGTAACACTGGATTTATTTACCTCACAGCCTAGCAGCACTACTTCTAAAATCTTTGAACTTAAACTTTCAAAAAATATCGTGGGGATTAGTGAGTTTTTTAAATTTATTTTTCCATCGTGTAATGCAGGATTTATTTACCTTACAGAGTTCTTTTGTTAATTGTGGCTGTTGAAACTGCCTGGCAACAGTCCCATCCTCCGTTTTTATTCCGACAACACTCATCAAGTTCTGGGCACCAGGTCTTATCACCACAATGCTTCATGCCAAGATCCACTGTGGATGCCTCTCTTTTAAAAATCCTTGAGTAAATTCCAGTGTTGTTTTTCTTGTTGCAACGCATATTTTGAAGATCACATTCATATCCATGGGCGCAACAATGGATGATATCATCACAACACTCAGCAAAAGGAAGCGGGCAGCAAAGATCAAATAATGGACAAGAAAAACATTCTGTCGTTAGTGGAGGACATTCTCTTACTACTTTCACCGTCGAACCATTGTTGACATTTTCGATGCAACCAAGTTTCGAATCACATATGTTTCCCGTTGGACAGCAGACAGCTCCCTTAGTCTCCGAAAAACAACAATGCTCTTCACCTGAAAATTTAAAAAGGTAGAAGATTTATTAAGAAAATAAATTATACCTACGTAAATTATACATACGTAAATTTTTGAACGCAATGGGTCATGTGTTAGTTAATTTACTAGACTCATGCAATTTTCTACTAAACTCTCAGAAGAGTTCAGTAGATAATTGCATGATAGTTCATTGTAAATAATGGCATTAAGTACGGTCTATACAAATTACGGTATAAAGTACCGGCACTTTGACCCGTAAAATCCATTTTCCTGCAAAATCCATTTTTACCGTAAAATATTATACCATAATTTTTACAGTAATATTTATTTAATTAAAATGATTCGTGAAGTAATAACTTTAAAATTATGTTACATCAGATTTTTTATTCCATTATATGTTCACTATATACAACGTACTGTATGACAGCACTCAAGGTGGCGTTACTTTTAATCGTAATATGGTCTTCTATTTTTTACAGTGTAGAATTGTAGGAACCATAGAATTGCCTTTAAATAAAGTAAGATATTGAACATGCTTCAATTCAAATTGGACCATTGCAAACGTACAGTCAAATTTAGGTAAAATTAATTACAGAATAATACGGTAAAATTTTGAACCGTTCTAACGAATTTGCATGGTATTGATGCTTGAACAGCTTCACCGTAATTTATTATTGGTAATTTATTAGTGAATTTTAGGGTCAGTTAAATATATCGACCCACTTATAAATTATTATTATTAGAGATACTAGACGAAAAATTTACATACTGTTCGTCTTATGTTAACCGTGACGCTATACTTTTTTCAGCCTGTCATTTAGCGACGCTGCAACTTGTAGTGGAAACTTCGATCGTGCCCTTTGAATGTGTTTACGTTTGAGTTAACAGTTACTGTAAAACTTTGAAAAATCTCTCTATTTGCTAGCTTTCATTCACAACTTTATCTATGAAAGAGTCATTTCATGTCAGATTGTCCTATTTTCACTTCTAACTCCTTACCATTTCCAATTTTAAACGAATCTCACCTAAACATAAATTTAACACACATATCTTCCAATCTACATTTTTTAAATCATACATTAAATATTTAAGTAGTAAAGGTATTTTAATCTAATGTCTTTAAATCTAAGCACTTTTATTAGAAACTGTCAAGTATCAAAGAGAAAGAAAATATTAATTTAATATAAGTTGAGAAATAAATTATTAATATAACATAATATCACGTATTTAATATGAATTGAGTCAAAAGTCAACTACTATTGTCCTTTTGTTCAACAAACGGAAAAAAGAGAGCATGGATATATAAAGAATAAAATTATATTATAGTTTTTTTCTGACTGAAATTTTTGAGTTTTAAAATTGAGGATACTAAGTAAAAAGTACGAATTCATAATCTTTTAAGAGTATTTATTGACATTTTTGTATGCTAAATATAGGACTTTGTTTTGCTTTTCAAGCTGTTTTTTGAAAAAGTAACGCTTTTTAGCAAATAATATGCGTCATTTATAACAGATGTAAGTTTGTGACAGTTATTCAAGACTGTTAGGGGATATTTTTGCTATGTAACCCAGCACCCTCTGTTTTTAATCATAAGAAAAACGCAAAATATCAATATGAGGAAAAGCCAGTCTTAAAAAAATTAAAAGCATTTATGATCTAATTTCTAAAAATTTAAAAAGTTACTCTCCAGCGCCATTGTCACAAAACTTAAAAAATTATTCTATTTGTTTTATAAGTTTTACCAAAGTTGAAAATCTCTCCAAATTGGAGTTTTTTAAGAAACACTACAAATTTTTTAACATGGTTTACTGAGCCAAGGAAAATAAAGAAGCCACAGTTTAAGTGCCTTATACTCTAAACAAAGAGATGGGGCCAGGATAGCCTGGTTGGTAGGACCCTGTACCCATGTCCAAGAGGTCATGGGTTCGATCCCAGCCGGCCGAAGACTCCCCTTGCAGTAAATGGTGACTGATGCATGTTAAATCTGTCGAATCACAAAGTCCTCCATGTTCGCTCCCATAACAAATCATACCTCTGGGGTTACTGATCCAGGTTGTTGAATGAGGTTGAGAATTTCGTGTCCTTAATGTCCAAGTTCAAAATATTAAAAAAAGAATAACAGTGTTAAATTACATTGTTACGAAAACTACCAAAATCAGGACCGTATCGTTCAAACCATTTTGGCATTCAATAGACCAACATGAGAAAAAGACATCGTGCCCTTCAGTCATGATTTTACAGCAAAATTCAAATCTTACAGATATTTCGGGACACTCTTCATATCATGCACTCAACATATATTTAAATATACTTAAATACACACACTGTATTACTTACTGTTGCAATAAATGCTATTGCAGGAGAGTGTATTATATTCAACGTCTTCAGCTTTAACAAAAGTGAAAACAATCATTCCCATTACAGCACTCAGAACATACTTCACCTAAAAAAAATAATTTACATTGGGGTTATTTATTTTTCTGAAGGGTGTTTACAAGATTTTTTTCTCCAATGGGGTTACTTCACCCATCCATTCAATAAAAATTGAGGCTGTTTTAGAGTAGAAGACTTTTATGTTTCAGAAGTAACTCTTAAATATGCAATCTGTTGAATAAAATAGCTATAAATGCACGAATTTGTTTCAATCTATTCTTTCAATGAAGAGTTATGAGGGAGAAAATCAACAACATGAGCTTCATTCTAAGTAACTAAGTTTGAGCACTAAGTTTGATTAACGGGGAGCTTTAAAAAAGAATTTGACGAAAAAAGGATAAATCTCTCTATAATAATTTACCTGCAATAAATCTCATAAGCATTAATAAAAAGAATCCAACATGAGTTTGGCAAACAGTATAGCTCTATTATATTTAAAAAAAACGAACAGAATATTAAAATTTTGTTAACTTTTGAAATTATGCAAATAAAATTCATCGAAAAAAGCCACAAAAAAGACTTTAAAATTTGAATAGTTAATACATAATTCGAAATTTTTAAAAATACCAAGATCATATTTTTTCTTCGGGCGCTTAAGTGCGTTGTGGCTGAAAAGCTTCTTAATTTTATTTCGATTGGTTTTTCTTACGAAAAAAAGTAAGATCGCACATCAAAAAATTAAAAAAAGATGCAAATTTACAATTTAATCACTCATCAAATCCAAACAATCGCAAATTTCATAAATAGGGAGGCTTGTTCGTATTATCTCTAGACGTAAAGATGCGTACACTGTAAAGAATTTTGACCTTTCGTTGACTCCATTTATGGTGATAAGGTGAACTATTGTAAATACATTCCATAATCGGGAAAAATTTAAAAATTGGCAAAATTACAATTCTCTTAAGAAATTACATTGTGAAAATTTCAGGATCAAACGTCTTAAGTGCAGCATAAAATCCAATTTACCGTTAAATAAATTTTTACCGTAAAGTTTCTTACCGTAATTTTTACAGTAATATTTATTTAATTTCAGTGGTTCAGTGATATTGTAGTAAATACTACGGCAAAAATTAAGGTATATCAGTTTTTTTCCGTAGCATTTTACGGTAAAGATGAATTTTTTGCTATTAAATACTGGCACTCCAAGCGTCGATAATTTGATCCGGAATTTTTTACAGTGTATGTTATATATATTACTAAAATTGTGCTTGTTTTTAAACGAAATATTTCTGCAATGGTGCAATAAATTGATTATAATGTGCATGAAAATATGTGCTGTCAATAAACAAATCTACAAAAAATGAATACTTAAATAAATAAAACGATAACAGTGAAAAGGAGAATAAAAAATGTGACTACATGCACTGTAAAAATTTCATTTTACTTCAAGACTGAACATGGTGGTTACGTATTCCAATTTTTTTAATGCAGCATAACCTGTTAATTTTCCTGGTTAAATTAAATAATGTAACACAAATTTTAAAAAATACTTTTATTTTGACATAGATTGTCCACTTTAACAAACTTTTCATGTCATAATAGTTTTATAGAGATTTTTAAATTTATGCAACGTTTCATTATTTTTAACAATAGTTTTTGTTTTGTATTTTAAAGACAAAAAGCCCGCCTGGTGAAATTTATGAAATATCGATGGTAGCCATTGTGCCCTTTTTGATATAGAATAATTTTTCAATATAAAATAAATAGAAAAATGTATTCTAAATACTTACGACGCAATACGTATTAATTAAACATTATCGGTGTTATGTATTCAATATGTATTACATAATCTTTATTATACTTGAAGTTAAATATTAAACACCTAAGTATTGTTGTACATAAACAAAAATATTATCCAACTCAATTACTCAATTTAGTATTTAAGAAGCTTTATTTGATTAACATAAGTAACAATGCAGTTAATTTACATGAAATTTGGTTCACACTTTTAGAAAAATGTGCTCACCTTTGGAATTGATAAAAGCAATTTTACTTTTAAATTATCCGGCAATACATTTACAAGTAATTATTCAATAACTTTTTAAAGATTTACCTATTAATGCTCAATTCGAAATTTCGCATTTACACTTTGGATATTAGCGTTAAATGTTTTGAAATCAATAAGAGATTTACTAATAAAAACTGCCCGTGAGATTTTTAATTTATTAGAAATTCAAAAATTCTGAAACATTCAGAGACACAAAGTACAGAGCAACAAATTGTAAAATTCTAATTTCATATAAAATTCTGAGGAAAACAATATTCATACAAAAAATCTTTTAAAGTAACTAAAATGATCACTAAATTCAAATAAATTAACTAACAATTAAGTAAATAACTTTTTTAACATTGTATTTTAAATAAAATTTAATATCACCCATATTTAAAACAATTTTGTTAAGTTTTTAATTTTGTTTTTCGACCATTCAAAACTGTGTTTGAAAGTTTAAATTTAGTGCTCCCCAAAATTATAGCCGCAGTCAATTTTAATTGAATATTACAAAAAGTAAAATATATATAATTTTTTCCCCTCATTATATTAAATTATATTGTTAATACATAAACTGTTCGTCTTACAGTCGATGAATTAATTTATTTTAAGTTTTAAAGGATAAAAAATTCAAAATATTAATCAATTATTATTATTCCAATTATTATTATTATATCTATCTAGTTTTGACTAAATGCAAAAATACCATCTAATAAACAATTAACAAAAAAGTTTTTTTTAATATTTTTTTAATTTGTGATGGGATTGCAAGATTCTTGAATCTTGTCGCGAGAACTTAACAAAAATATTCAACAAACTAAAGTACTCAAATCGTTTTCTGTAGTTAAAAGAAGAAGACGATTCTAAAAAATGATTAAGGTTGAGTTGTCTAATCTGTATATTTTAATGGGCTTTTAACCATTAGATTTTGGTGCTGGTAATTTTGTGATTTGAAACATTGTTATTTCGCTGAACACTATATCAGCAAACTGAGAAATATTGTTAAATTTAGCAACTAAGAACGGGAAACATATTAAATTAACTCACCATGTTGTAAAAGTAGACAAATTAGTTTTTATCCGTTATATCGAAAAAAAGTTATGTTATTTATATCATAACTTCTTGTTACACTCGATAATTCATAGAGATTTTGCTTAATATACATCAAACATTTAAATTCCTCTTAAATATATCTCGAAAGTGAAACTGAAATTACTTATCATAGCAAATCTCTAAGAGTTGAAAGACATAAAATTTTTTCGCACATAACTGATTGCAATATCATCAACGAACATGACCAGCGATAAGGAAAGAGGTCATATAGCAGGGATGGCCAAGCTCCTTGATAGTCGAGCCATTTTTCAAAATCTGAAATTTTTCGCGAGCCGCAGTTAAATACGTATTTAAAAGGTATGCAAAACAGGTATTAAAAAATTTTTTTTAGATANCAGGGGTGGCCAAGCTCCTTGATAGTCGAGCCATTTTTCAAAATCTGAAATTTTTCGCGAGCCGCAGTTAAATACGTATTTAAAAGGTATGCAAAACAGGTATTAAAAAAAAATTTTTTAGATAAATTATATTTATTAAAAACATATAAGCAAAAGTACAAAATCTGTGTATTGAATTTAAATATTAAACACATTTATTTTACTTCTCTTGATAATTCTTTAAAATTACTGAATAATAATGGTGGATAATTGGTGGATAATTCTGGTGGATAATAATGGTGGATAATACTGGTGAATAATTGGTGACAGCACTTCTCAGTAATTCTTTGAGATGCTGGTTAGTTTATACTGATCGGTGGTTAGATTTCACGAATTTTAAAGTGGAATAAAATGATTCACCTAAGTACGTTGTTCCGAATATTGAAATAATTCGACAAGCAGCTTTTTTTAATTCAGGATACTTCGATTCTGGTACAAATTTCAGTAATCTTGATCGACTTATATTTTAATTGTAGAGCTTGACCTTCTTGCATCTCTATTAATTCTAACTCTCCAGATGCTTTTTCGGTCATAATTATATTGGAAATGGAAAACTCACCTTGAATTATGTTAATTTCAAATGGATTGAGAAAAATATTAAAATATAATAGCACAAAAATGAAAAGTGAACTTGGGTACATTTATCGAGAGCTACAAATAATCCTTCAAAGAGCCGCATGTGGCTCTTTGAAGGATTGCCGTAGGTTGGCCACCCCTGTCATATAGTATAACAAACTTTAGTAAACGTTAGTTTTATTATAATTGAAACCTAACTCGTGATGTATCAAGTAAAACGTTTATGCCTCCCAGGAATTGAAAAATAAAAATGCTTAACAAAATTTGAACTTCCTATTTTTTAGAAAGATTCCTTTTCTTTCTAAATCTTTAATCTTTTTTTTATTGAAAAAATGTTCTCAAACATTTTTTAAATCGATGTTTATTTCGAATATGATTTTTCTTCATATGTGAGTTCGAACAGAAGAAGTACAAACGTTAATTTTTTCTGTATTGCTCAGGCTGCATTAATGAAATGTTTATTGCTAGATATAATTACTGACCTCTATAATGCCCTGTACATTCTAAACGGTCACTCTAATTTCGTAAACAATTTGAGTTTTTATAGGAGATTCGATGACAATGGATTATTTCATGTATTAGGATTGTGGTATTTGCAATATTGAATATATAATCAATTTTAAAGTTAACTACTTTGCCTGAATACTGATTTTAAAAAAATTTTTACTTTTTCTTTCACTAATGCTTCTTCAATGCACCAATACCACCTACAAAACCCACAAGTCTTTTATATTAGAAAGATCTTATCCTTGTTAGGAATATATCAAATTTGTTTTTTTAAATTGATTCAGAATCGGGGAAGCTGAATTTAAAATACAATTTTCAATATACTTTAATTTGCAAGAAATCTTGTTATAACTTGTGACATTTTTCACGCCTTTTTTCCCTTAAATAAACATTTCAGGAACAGTCATCCAGTCTATAAAATTTTTGTTTTAAGGATGTAAGAGAGGGATTATTTAAGCAATTATTATTTATTAAAACTCCGAAATTTTTGATAAACTATAACTCTTCGTTTGTTTCAGAGTTGGGGTAGCGGAATTTAAAATACGATTTGCATTTTTTTATTAGTATGAAAATAAAATCGCCTTAAATCTTAAAATAATTTGTGGAATATTTTATACTTTTCTTTCTTCTTTTAAATAAACATTATTTAAACAGCCACATGATTTTATTTTTAGGTTGTATGCGGGAAATAATTTACCATGCTATTTTTGTATATTAATAATTTTTCAGTTGCGTAAAATTTTAATTTCATGATGAATAACAAATATAAATCAAATTATTTAAATATCAAAACGGTCGAAATGAACTTGAACAAATTATTTGCTGCATTCAGTATGATAATGTGAAGTATTGTTATAGTTATATAAACTAAAATATTCACCACCATTTTTTCTTAAAATTACGACAATAACACTGATATAGTTCTCTGATGTACCTGACCTATAAAATGGTAACAAAAAAATAACCAACGAATTACATTTAATTTATTATGTGAATCAGAATAAAAACCCTATCCTTTTTAATTTATGCATATTACATTTTTGACCCCATTTTGTCAACATCATTAAAACATTATAATAACAAATTCAATATACACCGCGAAGAAAAATCTGGTAAAATTACAGTGTAGTATGGTAATGAGATTTCTTTGGAATTTCCTCATTTTAAAGCTAATAAACACACTATTAGATATATACATACATATTAAACTTGATCGTCATATTGTGTACCCCCTAATAAGCCTATAATTAAATAAATAAAGCCAAAATAAGGTATAAAAATCAAATTGATAATAAAAAATATGCGGTTTTTAAATCATTCCTTTGGAAATTTTTTCGTTCATAGCATAACGGTTTACCGAAAATTCTGGTTTTTAAAATCATCGTTTTATTACCACACATTTAGGAAATAATACAAAACTGAATAGTAAATTTAATGGAATAATTGGTTTTTATGCCATGCTCTAAGGTATCATGATAAAATTATCAATTATTACCACAGCTACCAAATTTTATCACATATTATAAAGACGTATTTTATTGTTAATTTTACCAAAGCCATTATCAAAGCACTTCGGAAAAAATTACCGACGGTTTTTATGTTTCCATAGAGCCAAAGGCACGGTAAATTTTTTCCATATTCTAGAAGTTCTGATCATACTTATTTTCTCAGCATAGCATTATGACCACATTGTAACTACCAAAATTTTCAATCAAAATTTTTAACATGATTATCAGTATCGTGCTAACAATTTTGGTAACCTGTTTGGTAAGCTTTGGTGGTTTGTTGGCCCTTGGTTTGGTGACCTTGATGACCTGGGCATTTTTCGTCTGCAAGGGTGTGTAAATAAAAATAGAATTTTTTTTTTAAATTTTAAAATGTACGCTTTGATCAGAGTACCAAAGTGTTGGAAGACGATTGTTAAGTTAATCTTAACTTTTTTAATTTGTAGTTGGTCAGCTACTTATTCAAGTAACTTTATGGCTTTTTAGCAACGTTGTCAATCTAGTTTAACGAAAATCTTTAAGAATTGAAAAAAGGAATTTTATTAAATAGTCTGAAAGTACGTTTATCTGAGAGACAAGATCGTGTCAAAATTTCAAGTGAATTCGATGAAATTATGCTTATGAGCAATAGTGTGAGAATAACTTTTAAAACAATTATCATAAAAACAGGTCTTTGAAGTCGTTGACTGACATTTCTCAGCTTCTCTGCATCTAATTTAACTTGATTTTTGCTTCTTTATTTTTAACAATATTTGTTGCTTCAGATTTTCTTTCCAGTTCAAAATCAAATCAACGACCAAATACAAACTTTTAGAGGAAAAAGTCTCAGAAAATCACTATTTTACTCATTATTTCTTTTCTCTTCTAATCGAACGAATATATAGTAATTTTTTACTATCATAATAAAATACCTTTTAGGCACTTTTTCTCGCACCCAGAATATGTTTGAAAAATATTTTTAAAAATATCGATAATTCTAATTTTTCTTCAATCCTCGCGGATTAACATAACCTCTTAAAGTGAGATTATTAATAACATCATCACATAACTCATCGGTATTTTATAAATCATCACTTAGAATTTTTTTTTTTTTGGGGGGGGGGACATTTTACCCTGAAGGCAAAAATAAAAATTTACGATTAACTCACCATAATGGAGAAGTGTGTCGATCAATTTATCAAAAATTCAGATTAAGATACAAACTAGTTTAAAATCATGTAAGTTTTTATTGTGTTCTACAATGTTTGGTTAATTTTTTTAAACAATTTAAAATCTAAGACAGTTCATGAAAGTGAAACTAAAATTACTTATCTTAAAGAATATCAGGGAATTGAAAGATTCGCACGTCACATTTTATCATCAACTTATTTTTTTATTTTAGAACGCTTAACGATAATAAAGAAGGTCATAATTACTTCGATTAAAATTATTCCTTTAAATCTGATTAAAAAAATATTAGCACAAAAATATTCTTGCTCTTTCATTCGGTTCAAAATAATATTAGTAAAAGAAACTATATTTTTTTATGTGATCATTTGAAAACCAGCTAAAAGCTGATGCGAAAATAATTGGAAAAGAAATTTATCATAATAAATATTAAAATAATTAGTTATTTCGCCTAACTATTTTAATATTTATTATGATACTATAGATTTATTATGGAAGGTAGTTACATAAAAGCTCTATGAGATCTACACTGTAAAAAATTTCGGTGTGCAGTTGTTTTGGTGTTGAGGAGATTTTTGTTCAGTGTATGTAGTTTAATTTTTTTTATTTACTTTCTTACTGTTACAGTTTGATCTATTTATTCATTCATTTTTTTTTGTCTTTTTTCTATACTGACTACACATAGTTTCATGCGCATGCGAATCAATTTGTGACATCATTGAAAAAATATTTCGTTAAAGAAACAAGCACATTTTAGTAATATATTTGCACGGATAATTTCAAACGATTGTTATTTTGTCAATTTCAAATACTCTTTTGCGCGATATCTACACTTCTGTGCTTCAAGCTAAGGCCCGCCCTGGGCTGCAGTGCCAATAAAGAAGAAGTAAACCAAAATGCATGTGCAAGACATCAATAAATCTTAATTTCCTACAAACTGAATGTAATGAACTTGAAGTTGCAGATTTCTCCAATTACCCGAATTCGACCATGGACAGTTTGAACAGAACGATGATTGATAAAATGACGCATTGTCGCTGCTAATCGTTGTCTTGATGAATTAATAAATTTTCTACGATAAAAATTAGTAAAAAGGAAAACATAATCGTATCATTAGACCTATATTCACATATTGCTCAAACATTCTGATGAATTCCGAAATCACATGAAAATCATCTTTGCGACCGATTCTTGATGCAGTTAATATTAATGGTACAGGGAGGCCAAGTACAATAATTACAACCATGAGGGCTGTGTAGAGAGCCAAATATTATCAACCATAATTAATGTAAATCGCATTCTGGGTACACACCTGCCGAATAGAAAAATCCTTCTTAACTCCCAGAATCTATACTTTTAAACCAATACGAATCCGAACCAGAAGCCGGTCCAGATTAAAGTGAATTGACTACATAGATGAGAATTTCAAAGCACTGAGAGTGATCAACTGGAGCACTTTGGTGAGAAGGAGAATAGAATGAAAGAGGAGTCTAGAGAAGGCCACAAAAGACTGTAGAGTCAATATAGATTGGAAAAAAAAGACTTAATTAACGAACGCCATTGGAGAAATGACGTAGCTTAATGAGTAGAGCTAGGCTTTCCATTTATATCAAAAACTAATGAATGTTTATAAAAGTTATAGTGAAAACTTTTATTTGTTTAATTTTTGATGTGGTGTAAAATGTTTAAGTTATGAATTCTGGAGAGAAAATGAAATCGAGCGAGAGTGTTTCGACAACATTCATTCAGTTAAAAGTTCATAAAAGTAGCAAAAAAAAGGGATATTTGTTTAACTTTTTTTGTGTTCTGGTTCAGAGGTCTAATTTAAACCCCATTTTTAACACTTTTTTTCAGTGAAGTGAAAGGCTAATGTATATAGCTATGGTTAGAACCAAAAAAATCTGATCATTCTGATCAAATCTGATCAAAAAGGTCATTTTATCACCAAATAGCGGCAATTAGAAAAAAGTATGACAGAAATAGACTTTCTTTGGCATTTAATCGTACATTAAAAAAAAAAAATCAAAATTTTGATTTTTTTTTTATTGGTTCTAAGCGTAGCCTCAATCAATTTTCTGCAAATTTCCATAGCGATATCAAAATTGATCGAGTAGTTTCTCCGCAAACCAAGCGCCCAACAAAAGAAGCATGATTTTTGAGAAATCAAGCTTAAAGTTTTTATAGTGTACCTCTTTGTTTTTTGGGACTTACCATCAATCGACCATGCTCGGGCCATTCAGTCCGCCTTCCTCGAGATCATACATGCATACATAGCGTGCACTGCTACTTCAGAACTGGCTTCTTTGCTAGAGGTAGATGCACCGTCCTACAAGAGTGCAAAGCATTTTACTGTTTTTACTTCGTTGCACCTTTTGCCAAATTTTTACTGGAATAGATGTGTTTTGGAGAAATCATCCGAAAAAAATCGAATTTAGTGATTCGTTATTCTTTTGACGGTTCGTGCCTACACATCTTTCCAGTAAATTGCCATCTGACAATTGTATATAGCCTCCTAACCTGATTGCCTCCTGCACCGATTGCCACCTGCACCATCTGTAAGCCCTGGAAAACGCGGAACTGCCGAGGCGATGATCGCGTTTTTCTATTATATCAAATAGTTTCCGGGCAAAACAATTTCTCACCCAGATACTTCATAGTATAATATTTCGAAATATGCAATAAAAAATGGATTTTTTTTTAAATTTCTAGACCAGGAGACTGCTTAAATATTATTCCATTTCATTAAAGATGGTCTAATTGTATTAAAGATGGTGTATACGGAACGCCCTATTTCTACATCACAGGAAAAAAGACTAATATAAATAATTCTAACTTATAACGGAAATTAAAACTAAAAATAACCACTGTAAAATCAGTTTTTGTTTATTTTATGAAACAAGATATAGTTTTCTTATTAGTATTTAATTTAAAGCAATACAAAGTAATTACGTAGATATATATACTTCAAAAAGTGTAAATAAATTGGGAAGGAAATGTAATTTAAAAATATCTAAAGTTCGAAAAAAAAACATTTTTTTCAACAGATAGTCGGCAAACTATGTGGAATTGTTTGTAGACCGAAAGGAAAAGTAATTGCCAGTTTCCTTAATCAGCGGTAGTGAAGGCCGGCACATCAGATCAAAAAAAAAAGAAGACACTTATAATAGCGTGTTAAAGAAAGTAAGGAAGCAATGTCAATATCCTGGCAGTGTCCGCTATTTGGTTCCTATTTAAATGAATTGTTTTTCTCGAAAAATTGGACTTTTTTTAGGAGAAATCATCTACTTCACTTGTGCCAAAAAAGTAAGTTTCATCTTCCTCTAAAGACTTAAAAAATATTTATTAACATATTTATTACATTTTTGAATAATTTAATTTGTATTTTGGAAATAATTTGAAAAAATTGAAAAACTTTCAAGCATTATTTAGCAATATGAATTAAGACAAAGCAACAGCTTCACAGAACATTTAGATTTTTTTAAATTATCCATTTAGTTCATCAACTCTCCATGACCCCTTAAATTTTGTGACTCATTTTTTAGAAATAAAGTTACAGTTTTTTTTTCTTTCGAATGATGATACATGAAACCGAAAACGGAAATAAACTCCCGAAAATGATACTGTTTAGTTATGCCTTGAGCATTTGAACCATTTTTTATTTGCATACATTTTATTTTTAGATACAAATAAAATTTATTTTTAGAAATTAATTTCCAAATTATTAGTTTTCCTGTTGTCAAAATTTTCAGAATGTTGTCAGAAATTTTAGATGCATTTCCTGAAGAACATCGATTTTGAAAAAATTTCTCTACATTCTTTTCAAAAAGAAAAGTTTAATGTAGAATGTTTTGAAATTCCGCATGTTCATTTTGTGGAATGTACGCGATGTTTTGAACTGACTGCTAAGGTTTGAGTGTGAATTTATTATTTTAATCAAGTTAAGTAAAAATATTTAGAATTCACCTTTAAAAATTCCATAAATAATATATTTAGTCCTATTTCATTGTCTTTTAGAAATTTTTTCATTCAGAACACATATCACATAATTAACCTTAAAAAAAATTATTCTGAAATTTATACAGTACAATTTGTTGCAAGGCTGTTAACGTTGCATGGAAAATCTGTGGTTTTCAAGTTCAAATGCATTCTGATTTAAAAAATAACAATAATTTATAAATTTTTAAGACTTTAAATTTATAATTTTACGACCCTTGCTTACAAAATATAAAATTAAAGTTTTAATTAAACTTTTTTTAAAAAGGGAATTGTGTTGAAACCAGTCAGATACCTTGAAATAGTTGACTTCCACAGTTACCCTATTTAAATATCTTAGCACTATCAGACTAAAATGTGATAACTTAAAAAAAAAAACGCGATATCTAAATCTGACATAGTAAAGGGCCGCATCACAAACAGCCATTTATTAAAACTGTTAAGGAAGTAGTGCATTATTTTAAGGGCTCGTGGAAAAAAACTACACTTCGCTCTACAGAGAGGCAGTTTTCTGAACAAAATAACAACAAAATAACAAGTTTTATGCATTGAAAAAACCTTTTGAAATACCATTGGCAAACTTTTGCATTGACAAAACAATGTAAATTAAAAAAAAGTTTAAATAAATTAAATCAAGTTTGAAAAATAAATTAAATGAAGTTTTTACTCGTAATACAATAATATAAGCATTTTTTTATGCAATGATACAGAATTCATTAAGTATTTACAAGAAAATATTCTGAGAACACTATAAAATTTTTAAGATGGTCATTGTTGTTTTGTTTTTTGGCTCATTGGAATCTACCAAAATGTTTCGGAAATTTTTCAAACTTAAAAACTGAAAAGAAAAAAAATATCTTTAAATTAAATCTTAATCTTTGGCAGAAATATTTTAAAAATGAAATGTCTACAGACAATATAAAAAACATAATTAGATCCATAATTGAATAAGCATAATTATAACCATAGTTATAATTAGACTATATACACTATTTCGAAAGCACTGTTAGAGTTTTCATTCTAAAAGTATGGTAAAATCACCGGCAGAAGTCTGTCGATCCAACTAACAGTAAAGTTTAGGTAGAGCATTTTTATCTTTACAGTTCAGAAACCGTTTACAACTAATATGGTTAAAAAAAAAACTTGAATGTCAAACTATACGCTTTTTCAGCCATCTACAACTAGCATGGTTTCAAAACTGTAAAAAAGAAATTTAATTGAACTTTAAAGATAATTTAACAGCTTTATGGTAGTGCCATCAACGCATAAATGAGAGTATCGTATTCTAATAGCCCAAGTTCGCAAATTGAGGAGAGCAAGACGAGCGTAACTCTTCGTATGTTGAAAGGAATGGAGAAAATATTGCTCGGACTCGAACTCTGGGACTCGAATCTCTTTTTTTTCTGTCATGAGATTGACAGGATTTGTCCTCTGGGATATAATATGTACCCATCGGCAAGGAACTAAGTGGCTTCATTAGGTAGGATTTGTCGGTATAATAAAATTCTGGAAGTTTAAGCGTATGAGGGGACAGCACTTAATAAACGGTTTTTCTCCCAGTTAATAGTTTGAATACCAACTTATTTAGGGTTATTTGACTGTTTTGTTTGAATATGGTAAAATAACAAATAAATAAATTGTTATTTAACCACTTTTTTCCGAGAAATTTCTAACAGTGTAGGCTGCTTTATTCCAAAAGCAAAATTATAAAGTTTATAAATAGTACATATTTTAGAATAATTTTAAGACTAATTTAGTTGACAAAATTTAGAATAATACATATAAGTGCTATTATTAAGAGGTTTTGCACATTTTGAGTAATTATTGAAGTGATTCGCACTTTCTCAAGACTCATGAAATCAACGTCTATGTGTAGTCTCTTTATAGACAGTATAAGAATCTTATAGACCATATAAAAACCTACTGCTTAAATCTTCTTTTAATATTAAAATCCATTTATTATTGAACTGCATATCCCATTTCAAATAGACTGTTTTACTGAAAAAGAAAAATTACAAAATAAGTGGAATTGTTTAGAAATAGGTACATATAATTGATTTTATTGAGAGTGTTTACATGATTTTGAGAAATTATCGAAGAGATTGGCGCCTTCTCAAGCTCCATGAAATCAACATCTGTGAACCGCCTTCTTATACACTATATAAAAATCTTATAGACAATATAAAAATCTACTTCTAAAATCTTTTTGCAATCTTGAAATTAATTTAAAATTAGACAATATACCCTATTTTGAATCGAGTGTTTTATTTTAAAATCAAAATTATAAAATAAATGGAATAGTTTAGTTTTTATTGTGAGGGCTTACACATTTTTAGACATTATTGAAAAAATTCTCGCTCTCTCAAGCTCCTTGAAATTGACGCTTAGGAGCTGTCTCTCTGCAAAAATACTGGATAATAAAATTGAAAGCGATGATTGGGGTACAAATAATATGATTTTTAGAGATATCGCTATCATTTCATATTGAGAGATGCTGTAGAGTTCAAAAGAGATTTATTCTATTTACCTAAATATGTGGCTGAATTTAACAGCATTTTATCGTAAAACTCACTTATTAGAATGTGTCTGTTTATTATTTTGAAACATCAGAGGAAATTTAAACAATTAGTAAAAAGAAATTTACGATTGGCGTCCTCGTACACTGTTAGAAATTTCTCGGAAAAAATGATTAAATGACAATTTATTGAATGGTTAGTTTACCGTATTTAATCAAAACAGTCAAATAAGCATAAATGTAAAGGTAATCAAGCCGTTAAGTTTGAGAAAAACTGTTGATTAACTGCTTTCACCTAATACGGTTAAGCAACCAGAATTTTATCACACCAACTAGAACCACCTAATGAAGCTACTTAGTTCTTTGCAAATGCATACATATCATAGCCAAGCTGGCTTATCTGTCAGTCTCATGCCCGGCAGAACTGGAGTTCGAGTCCTAGTGTTGACACCACACTGTTTCCTCCATTTTCCTCAACACTTGAAGAATTTCTAGAGTCCGGCACTCTCCAATACCCATTACCTCACGAAAAACCGAGCTCCTATGTCTAGTTAAACAATTATTTTTTTCCACATTTTTGAGAAATGCTGGTTGTAAATGGTTTAAAAACCGTGCAGTTTTGTATTCATGGTCTTATAACCATACTTTTTGTAAATGGTTTCAAAACCAGAAAGGAAAAAAATGTTCTTTACCGTAAACTTTACGGTTAATCGGATGGACAGACAGCTGCCAGTTACTTTACCATAATTTTAAAATGAAAATTTTAACAGTGTATCCGATAGTACTAAGATAATTTACCTTTGAAAAAGTGTAGCTAAAACAAATTGTATACAGTTGCAATCAAGTTATTAAGAACGCAACTTAATTTCTTTTTATTACAACGGAAACTTTAACTACCGTAAATGGAAGGAAAAAAATTGATTGCTTTCAATCACAATTCTGGCAAAAACTATCTATTCTGGTCAATCAATGGAAGGTTGAAATCCTGTTTCCACTGGTGAAGGACGGAAAATTTTGCTGCTAAACATTCCAAATGCCTTCACTAACAAGTCTCTGAAGATGAGCTAGTCTTAAATCTAGACTTTATAATTGAACTCATAATTACCTAATAGATTGCACATATGAAACATGAATTACTTTAAATGAAAGTAGGAATTAGAAAAACATTATAAAATATTCATTAACAAAAAGTTCTTCTCTCAATGGATATATTTTAGCAAATTTTTCTTAACCCAATGCTTATAATTAATTTAGAAAAATGCATTTACTTTTCATGAAAAATATCGACATTTTCAAGTAAAACAATGATGCAGCAATTATAAACCAAAAATAAATTTTCTTCACACAAAGTTCTTCATAAAATATTAAAAAAATACGGTTTTAAGTTAAACCATAGCAAACAAAACTCAACTTAAATTTATACCACGATATAATAAAAAAAATGTATGCGATTTTAAAATAATAATGAAAAAATATTTTACAATTGTTAGAAAAATATTTTACGACATGAAATTGATTAAAAAAGTAATTCAAGAAATATATATAGGGGGAAAAATTACAAATTTTAAATTCAGTTTCTTCCTGTCTGTTGCATCGTCTTAGACTGTGGCTTCTTCTAGCTTCGTTTCTCATCTCTATTTTTCCATTTTTCATCGGTTACTTTTCGTTTTATATTTCAAATCACTCTTATTTCTTCTCAATCACGTCTGGCAAGTCTTGAAAATGGACGCCCGTTTTTCAGCGCTTGAAACATTTCGACTGTTATTTCCTATTTGCATATTTTTGAATGAATGAAGTTTTTAATGGAGCAATTAATTAGTTTAGTTAACTCACTGAACAATGCTTTTTTTAACAAAAAACTTTCATAGATGTAGTCAGCATTCTGGAATTTATAAATGTCACATAAAAATTTCTTTATACAGTCATTAAAATGCATATTCTATATATTTTGCCATAGAGATGTTTTCAAAGAGTTTCTGCTTGTTTTTAAAAAATAAAAGAATAATTTATAATAATAAATAAATAAATAGATAAAGCTTTTTATTTTACTTGCTTTTTAATGATATGATGATATTTCTGACTTTTTACTGTGTACAAAAAATAATATTTTAACTAAAAGGTAATCTGCAGTTGATAAAAATTTTATTAATAAAATTTGTTCATTCAACCAGCGAGAGTGATTTCAATTTTGTTTTGTTCGTGACAGTCGTTTTTATGCTCTAATAATCCACCTTTTACTGCCTGACAGTTGCCTTATCTGAATCTAAAAATATTTTTCTCAGAAAGCGATCAGACGTAGCCCAATTTTCTGCAGAGACACTTTCATTGACAATTACCGTAAAGTAGAATGGCACGTGTAACTCATAATTGTAACATTTATATAGGTTTCATAATAATGTAAAATATAGATTCAACAATAATGCAAAATTTTTATAGGTTTATAAACCTATGTTAACGGAGAAATAAAGTATCTTGACCCTATGCAACTATGTCTAGAGAATCAGGATCTGAGCTTAAACGATCTTTATTTGTACAACTTTCTCTCTTATATTAAAAAAAAAAAAAAATTTCTGTATATATATTATATTATTA